GAACCCAACCTTGAAGGAAGGGGCAGGACTGCTGTAAATGGCTACCCTGAATATATCATAACCCAGTTATATTTTTCTGTTCACTTATACCAGCATCCCAAAACTGCCTGTGCCAATGTAATTACCTGAGAAGTTAAAAAAAAAAGGAGATCCCTGGTCCCATTCTAGACCTACTGAATAAGAATCTCCAGGGCTTAAGAACCAGGAATTTTTTATTATCCCAGGGTAATTTTGATATGCAGCTAAGTGTGGCTATCACTGCCACTTGGTGCCCATTAGCCCAATGGCCTTCCGGAACCAATATGTTAAATGAACACCTCCTACTGAATCATGGGAAAATGGGAGGCCACTGGTAAATGTATCCACTTCATCATGAATGGATATAAATTCAGATGCAATATAAATTCTAAACTGGCTTTAAATACCACAGAACAAGTTTCCTACACTGAAAATCATCCAAATGATAGTTTTGCATATTCGCCATTCTACCCACAATTTTCTATTAAATGCGTTTTCTATATCCTTTCAGAAGGTATTACAATAGCTACTTTACCAAAATTACCCTGTCTCTAACCACAAACTACTCTGGTACCTGAAATAGTGTGATTTAGCCTCTGATAGTAACTTTTGGGGCATCATGGCCCTAAGCCAACAGAGACACTGACATATGGTCTCCACGTGTGCTCGAAAGACACCAAAATATCACTGTTTTTCAGTACTGCGGGTGACCTAACGGACATTCTAGGAAACAGTTCTCAATGCATCCTAAAGAGAACCAGAGTTCTTCATCCAGGGAGTAAATCTTGAAAATAGGGCCCGAACCCTACAGTCCATCCTGCCCAGTGAACTCCACTTTCCTGCTCCCTCTCCCTGGAATGTCCACTCTCTGGACCCATTCTCATCCCGACACAGCCGTTCTGCCTTCCCCACCACAAATGGGTCTCGCCGCCTCCCTCTCATTTGCTCATGCACAATTCACGAGTGGGCTGAAGAGTACCCAGGCCTCGTACTGATACCGTGAGAGATTTACGGTTTATCACCTCACCTGAGCTTTCAGTCTCTGCAAACCTTTTCTGCCTCTCCCTCATCAGCTCCTGCTTCCGGAGCGGTTTCAGGCCTTTCCATCCTCACACTCCCTGATACACTTCCAAACTCATCAGTCCCTGCAAATGATCTTGCCTCCAACTTCAAAGAGAAAAATAGAGGCCACAAGGCTCTTCTTTCTGAATTTCCGACTCCTTTTGCTCCACACACTTATCTGGACTTCTGTGGCCTCCTTTTTTCCTTCTTCAGAGCAGGTGGGCTAAGGCCGCTCTCTGCAACAGGGCATGTGGACAGTTTAAGAGCAGAAACACTGAGATTGGTTTCGGGTCTATCGAATTTGGGATTATTCTGGGATATCCCAAAAGAGGTGTAGGGTGGGCAATTAGACATGTGAGGCTCAGAAAAAGGTTTAACCTAGAAATAGCCAAGCACCCCTTTACATATTGTTCAAATGCCATCACTTCCACAAAGCCTCTTCTGGCCAAGCAAAACTTCTCTTGAATTCATAAAACACACTGTCTCTAACATGTATCTTGTTCTGTCTTCCTTTCATCTTTATGTGCCCTACTCCACTGAGACAAAAGCGCCTTTCCAGCTGGAAACCTACCGGAAACCTAGTTAACATTGCTACATATGTTAGCTATGTAGTCTTGTACTTTGCACCTAGCAGGCAGGCACTCAATAAATACAGACCAGCCCTATCCAGTGGTACTGGACATGTTCTATGTCCGCCCCTCCCCCAGTCCAACAATGGAAATGTGGCTAGTGTGAATGAGTAGCCATTTGTCCCTAACAATGGGCACACAGTTTCAAGGCTGGTTCTAGTCTTTCCAACACACTGTGAATGGTCATGTGTCTGGTAAAACAAAATATCTGCTTAAGACACCCCTGTGGGGTTCCTGAAGAGGCAGGTTGCCCAACTGACACTGAAACCGTTCTATTTTGAGAAAAGCCTGGTTTTTAAAAGCCTGACTCACACTCTGCAAGCTTAATCCCCTTTTGGAAGGCAACCTGGTAAGCGAGGAGCTTCTGGACGAGTAACCCTTATCACGGTGTAGACCCGCAAGTCCCTGAAAAAGGCAGGTACGGAACACACAGCATCCCACGCTACACCATGATGATACTAATAATGATTGCTAATGAGTATTAAACACATAACGGTGTTAGTCAAGTTCTAAGCTCATTTTGATCATTATTCACTTGATTCACAACAACCCTACAAATCAGGTGCTACTAAAATCTCCGTTTTATAAAGAAACAGGCAGCTACAGTTCAGTAACTTGTCCAAGGTCACAGAGCTACTAAATGTTAGAGGTCAGAAACAGGAGTCTTGATCCCTTACTTAGCCTTTGGATTTTGAGGCCAAACTGGAGTCTTCATACAGAATCATCAAGAGGGCCCCATGCCTCCACACTGGGAACCTGTGCTAAAGGGGATCCCAGCCAGGGCCAAGAGCATTTCCACAGACACAAAGTTATGGTCAAGGATGTGCAATGGAGCATTATTTATAATAGCAAAAAATCTGAATGGATCCAAATACCAGATGGTAGAAAGATGACGTTTTTATTTTTGTTTTTGTTTTTTACAATGTGGGAGATTCAAGTAACAGAATATGGTGACTACAGAAGAGTATTTCATTTGTATGGGGAAATGCTCAGAATATATGTTAATACAGAATGAATATATATAATTATGTATTCTATGTATGTATTATATATATTCTATAAAATACATAAGTTAGTATAGCTCAGAATATCATACAAGTTAAAAAATCAGGGAGTGGGTCCCAGTGCTGACATAGTGCTCTCTTCTTGGGCAGTGCTAATAACAGTCAGAGCTCACCCAACACAAGCACTCCAGCACGCTCACAGGAGGCCAGCTCTGCCTAGTACGAGGCTTGACAGTGTGCATCAAGACACAATTATATGGCCTGGAACTGGACGACTGCGGGGGGTGGGCACCCCAATCCCAGCAACAGGTGAGGAGGTTTCCTGAACAGTTAGAGTAATGGGCTGCAATGTGTTGCAGCATGGGGTGTCTTGAGGGGCGTAGTTCCCAGGAGGAATCAAAGTCCTATGACATCACAATGAGTGCCATCCTTCACTCGCTCCAAGCCCTGAGACTTCCAAGAGTCCTAATGTCCGCAGAGTGCCCTAACTTTAGATTAGAAAATAAGAACAATATGGCAACACAGAACATCCTTCTCAAAAAAAAAAAAGAAGAAGAAGAAGAAGAAGAAAGCTTCCTCCTCCCCTTCCTTCCACGGTCCCTCCCGCCCTTTATGAATAATTTAGTCTAAAAGCCCATTAGGTGAAACTGAGCAAAGTGAATATATTGGATTGAATAGTGTGCCTCCAAAATTCACATCCACTCAGAACCTGTGAATGTGACCTTATTTAGAAATAGATCAGATGTAACTGAGTATAAATGAGGTCGTACTGAATTCGGATGGGCCCTAAATCCAATATGACTGATGTCCTTACAAGAAGAGGGAAATTTGCATACAGACACACACACAGAGGAGAAGCTTATGAAGATGGAGACAGAGACTGGAGTGATGCGCTTACAAGTCAAAGAATGCCAAGGATTGCTAGCTACCACCAGAATCGAGAAGGGCAAGAAGCAGATTCTCCTTTAGAGTCCCCTAAAGGAACCAACTGTATGGACACCTTCATTTCTGATTTCTGGGACTTTGTTTTGGCAGCCCTAACGACAATATCATAATCATTAAAGGAAGGAGACAGTAATATCTCAGTGTGGGGTACTGGCATAAAGAGGGCATCATCCATTGGGGCGGGACGAGGCAGCAGCACCTGGTGTGTGAAGTATTGAAACCCGCATGCGGTAGCGAGGATAGATGCAGGAGGGAGCCCAGCCCAAAGTGGGGTATCGGGGCCCAAGTCGAGTGAATGGGCTTCGGTATAAGATGACAGCGGTGCCGTCTAGAGTGCCGGAACCTGAGGAACGAGGTGAGGAGGGCATCCTCATTGCGGTGGGGCAGCTATGGGGACATGAGATGAGATACCTACAGGCAACTGAGTAAATTAATTAACACATTAAGGATAATGGAAACCAGGTTTCTCACTATTGGAGAAGGAAGTTCAAATACAGAAAGAATTAGAATAGGACTGAATTCATGGTTGTTCGTATATCTTGATAAGTACAGAAATAAATACAGATGTAAAAAGAAAAGTATGTGTATGTGTAAGTATATGTATAAATAGTACATATATTCCCTAACCCTAGCCACTCAGAGGGGCTGGGACAGAAATACACCAATGGTGAAGAGCATATGTAGTGCTCAAATCTTAATTCTAAATACTGTTCTTCACTAAAAGGAATTAGGGCTTCTTAGAAAAAGAGATGATTCCAGAACTAGGGCAGGGAAAGCAAAAGATGAACCTGAATCATTTTGGGGAGCTAGAAAATAAGAAAGGGCTCAAAGAACGCAGGGAACACATCAAGAGGACATAGCAGCCAACTTGAAGGGGCTCCCATTGGCCAACGTGAGACAATGTGAGCATCAAAATAACGATAAAAATGCATTATGGACCACTCACAAAATAGGGATCTATGAAAAAGTAAATAAGGAGAAGAGAAAGCTTTCCCACAAAGTAGAATGCCAATTAATAAATACAGAAAGGTGATTGAACTAGATCAACATTTGGCAGCTATCAAAGTAGTAATTATTTAGTCAAAAAACCTCAATGGATGCTAAAACCAGTAGATGAAAGGTTGATAAGAAATGAGATATCTACATAATCTCAAAGTATCTCCACAAACTATTTCTTATTCCAAAGAGGAATAGAGTAACTTTACCATGGAGAAGTCTGACAGATATCTCCTTAATCAAATGATCAAAAGAATAAAGGAGCCAATAAAGGAGCAAGTCAGTCATACACCTCCCGAGAGGATGCAATAAGAACAGAGCATCACGTCTGTGATATTCTTGCAGAAATAACCTGAATCTAATCATGAGGAAACCACCAAAAAGTCCAAACTGATGGACATTCTATAAGATAACTAATTGGCTTATAATTTTCAAAAAACGTCAAGTTCATAGAAGTTAAGGAAAGACTAAAGAGGCATGACGCCTGAGCCTGTGGGTTCAACTGGGAACAGGAAGCAACTTCCTTCCTCTCTAGGGACACTGCATTCTAGTTGCTATGAGGGACATAATTGAGACAACTGGCAAACCTGAATGAGGCCTGTGGATCAGACAGTACTAATGTCAATTGCCTGATTCTGAGGGCGACATTGTGATCATGCTGGAGAGCGTCCTTGTTTGTAGGAAAGACACACTCAAGGATTCAGGAGTGACGGGACATCATTTTGGCAAGTTACTCTCCAAAGGTTCAGGAAAAAAAAAAAAAATTCTTTGTACTACTTTTTCAACTTAATGTAAGTCTGAAATTAGTTGCAAAGAAAAAGACTTGGCAAGAAAGACAATAGCAAATTGCAGAAGTGATTTACAGTCCAAAAGGGGAAATGACAGTATTTCTGCAAATAAAACAAACTCTGGAAAATTCTCTCTTGTACTTACACTGCTGGCAGTTTTTTCTTAATCCAGGCACCATGACTGTATTAAGTATACATATCTATCACTTTATCTATCCATCCGTAAGGGGCAGTAACAATTATCTGAAAAAGGAGCCTCGAAGCCTCAAGATGGTGCATAATTCATTTAAATTGTAGGTTGTGTAAAAAACTAAAAGTGAGATGACCAAAAAAGCTCATGTGCATGTTTTAGAGAAGGCTCAGGTTTAAGCATCAACAATTATCTCCAGTCAAACTTCTGCATTAATATTTAATTGAAGTTATTTAAATTTTTTAAAAACTTTAAGGTTGGTTTTCCAGGTAAATTATCTCACTCCATAGGTTATGTTAGCAGCAAAGGAACAAGTCAGAAGCACCAGCCCCGCGCTACCACTGATAGCATTTTCTGGATATTTGACATTCAGAGACCCCATTCCACTATATTCTCTGTAGGATATTTCAGGCCAGCTCCAAGTTGTCATCCGAGCTCCCAAAATTGGCATTCCCAGCATAGTTTCATTTTCTTTCATAACAATATCCCCACTGCCACAGCCTTTCAAGAATTTGGCTCATAAAAGGCCCACCATGACTAAGGGTTTTGCTTTTTGTTCCTCATTTACAACTTGTCCTCAATTTGTAGAATCTGGGGCTTGAATAACCTTCAGTTCTACTTGCTCTAACTTGGCTGAAGATTTCAGTAACTACTTGGGCCTCAGAGTAACACACAGAGAACATATGTACTATTCTCCCAGAGAGTAGCTGTAACACTATAAGAATAGAAAGTGAAACCAGCGGGTCAAGTACAATCCCTTCCTTCAACACAGCTGTATCAAACAGCGGAATTCTGACTGCTCTCCCTACCCCCAGCCCCAATCTGTTATCTGCCCTGCAGCTAGAGTACTCTTCTAAAAGCACAAATATGATCTGCTCAAAGCTGACTGTTGTCGCCTGCACCTGCTCCAGCTTCATCTTCCCGCCCTGTACAACTCTCGGAACTTCCAGGCAGTGGTCTGCGCCAGGGCGTCCACGTCTCTGCCTCCTAGCCTCAAGAACATCCCTTTTCACTGGCTAACGCTTACATTCTTCAGGTCTCAGCTTTAAAATCACTTTCTTGGCAAGCCTCCTTAGTGTCTGCAGGCCAGGCCCCAAATCTGTCTGTCCCACTGGACGCTAATCTCCATGAGGCCCAAGACCGATTCTGTCTGTTCACCACTCCTACAGTATGGCGAAGGCTGATGATTAATAAACTATGAACTTACAATGTCTACCAGGCAAGAAGGAACAGAGAGGAGACCTGCAGCCTAGTAAAAGAAAGCTGGGACACAAGCAGTTAGATTGAGGAAAACGATGATTTGCCATAAAAAAGAAAAGGTATATATATATATTTATATATATAATGCTATGGGGAATTCTAAGAAAGCAGTGAGATACACATTTTAACAATTATTTCTCATAAACGATGCTTTATATTATTTTATATTTTCAAGACATAATCTGGATCTTGTTTATTTCAGTACTATAAAAATGAGAATTCACTAGAAAAGCATTGATGCTTACCAGCACAGTGCTGCCCAGTGCCAAGAACTCATAGATGCTTATTATGGTGACCACATCGAAATGGAGTGTGAATGGGGCCTTATTAATAATGATACCTTGCCTCTAAGTGAAGGTAAAGAGGGATTGTCCCTGAAAAAAACAGGATGTGAGGGTCCTCCCGTTACAGGAGATAGCTACTCTGGGAATATGTTCGACATCTTTCATTGAAAATCCTTGGACCAAATATGTTTCAGTATTCATAAGTTTTTGGATTTTAGAGAGATCGAACAGTGCATATACCATATAGAACATGACACCCCCAGCAATATCTAGAGCAGAACTCCTTAATCCAATAATGTTTCTATAGTAAAATGTGAACATTCACACTGATTAGAATTAACAAAATCTATCAAAAGCTTTATGCCAATTCCGGGCTGACTACACTGCCAAATGAGTCATGACAAAAACTTTCGACTTTCAGAGCTATTTGGATTGCAAATGAAGGATTTCAGATCTGTAATCGACTTCGAGTTATTTCTATCCTTGGAAAATACTATTGTTCCCATGTTATACAAAGCAATCATCATCTTTTTCCTTAAATTGTAGTTACATTATAAATTAAGCCAGAATTCACTATGCTTAACTTAGTGAAGAACAGCACACTTTAAGTCCTAAAATGGAAAAGTTTAATGCAAACTGAATTTGCATATTAAAATGTGGGAAAATACCTTTGCTAAATATTTTTATAAAATCTAAAATGCTAAGTAGCCATTTAAAAATTATTACTGACTTTAAATTAGATCTGCCTAGCAATATGTATACATTTTTTACTTTACCAATTTAATATGTGAAATATTTATTTATAAAATAAGAAAAGTTTTAAAAAAGATTGAAAATTTAAATATTCTCCCTAAGGTTCTTTTCCAGTGACATTTGTAATGATATTGTTCCTTCGCCTGTGACATTTTAAATTTTATTTCAAAAATTAAATTTGTTACAAAGAATGCTTTTATGAGAGTCGAGTTAAATTAAGTTTATTATTGTTTATGCAGTATGTGTGAGAACTATGATATCCATTGAGATGGGTACATGAGCCACTCTCCCATTTAACATAAGCCTAACTGCTCTGTGGAAACCATGACATCAAACAAAAAGACTACTTGTAGTGGCACAGATACAAATGTACTCAAGGAATTGTCTGGAATGCGTATCTCCTCCATTTTTTTTTTAATCACTTAAAATTCTTTTGAATGATAGGGCAAATGTGTCATTGCAATGTGAGAAGCATAATGTACATTGAACTGCTTTCAGGTTCTGTGGGACCTGGGTAGAAATTCAGTTCTGAGATCCTTGGTCGCATACCTGGCAGTGGGAAGAAAGAAAACACACTACGGCTAAAGAGGACCAGGGTGAAGACACCCCCAGAGACCTTCCTACCGCAAGGGCCGAGGTACTTACACTGGCGTTTACACTTACGTGCATGAACTGAATTATTTATAAATATGTAAATAAAAAAGCCAAAACTTGCCTCTAAAAAATGCTCTCCTGATTCCTCAGGAGATAATGATGGTGGTGGGGCAAGTAATGTCAACGAGTATTTACAGAGCACCTACAATGTACCTGGTATTAAGTTCTATGCTTTATATACCTTGTCTCATTTATCCCACACATAACCCTATGAGGTAGGTACTATTATTTTTCTTGTTTTAAGAAGAAGAATAAATGGCTTAGCCCATGCCAAAAGCGATTCTCCATCACAGAGCTCCATTATCAAGAGAACAAGTATCCTAAAATGGGCTTTCGCCTTGAATAGACGATATTCACCTACTTTGCCCTTTGGGTCTTCAGACATGACTGCTAGGAAACACACCAGGGAAACTGGTGTGTTTCCCAAGCTTTACTTGGACACCACGCTAGTTCTGACAGTTGCTTCTTTATGTTAGAAACATTTCGAGAACAGGGGTGTCAAAGTCCCCTAGGCCTAGAGATCTCCTTGTGACATTTCCCAGCACTTTATGCTTGGCTGGGTCTTTGTTCTGGGGGATGGGCAATTAAGAATACAGATCTCCCACAAACAAGGATGATATTAGGAGATAAGTGAGCTGTCTGGGACTTTTCCTAAAAGAGGAAGTCTTTTGACCTTGTATGACCCTAGGGCTATACTGATGAAAACACTTTTTTAGCAATCTCCTCACCAGATCCAGAAGCAAGATAAGCACAGGTTTAAAACCTGAAGTCCCTAAGCAAAACTTTGTAAAACCATTATACCTCTATTTGACATCCTCCTTGCCTCTCCCCGTCCCCATCCTTGGGGATGTAGGTGACCAGTGAGGCCCCCAACAGGCTTCCTTTAATAGTAGGCATGGATCCCACCAACACCTCAGTGACAGAATGAGGCAGGAAGAGGAGTCATAAAGATAGAAGATTTTAACACTGTCTCCTGTCTTTCTTAGCCTGCAGCCAGCAGAACTGGGGGCGAGGGAGAACTGAGAAAAGGGGCTGATCTCCAAAGTGACTGCTGCCTCTTTCTTGAAGAACACTTTCCTAATTATACAATTACATACATAAAGAATGTAAAGACCAAAGATTTTGCCTCGAGACAAACATTCTATACCTATCTTAAGTGATACATCAAGACTGAGAGTAAAGAAAGAGATCACATCCATACCCAGGGACTCACAGAAGGAAGAAAGGGTCTCATCACAGCAGTCCTGTGCTGACTTTCTCAGACCTGCTGTCATGGAAGTAGCAGAGCAGAAAAGGCGACAGTGCGGGCTGTGGAGGCTGGCTGACATGCCTGGTTCCAAACCCCAGCTCTATCACTTATTAGCAGTATGACCTTGGGCAGGTTACTGACCCTATCTGTTCCCTCAGGGCTCTGGGAGGGTTAGATGAGGAAATATGTAAAGCATCTAGAATAGTGCTTTATATCTCACAGGTACTTCGGATTGGAGTATACCTAGGTACAAAATTTCCAGACAGCAGCTTGGTGATAGTATCAAAAATTTTAAATGACATCCTCTGCCCCAGCCATATAACTTCTAGGAATGTTTTCCAAGCAATTTAATCTTGTGTAATTTAATCATATGTTTTCTTTAAAAATAATAATAATAATAATACAATGATCATTAAATCTGTCTCACATGCAAATGTAATATCCGGTCTTGTAAAAGAAAATAAGATGAGAAAGCTCTGTGAAGTAATACAGATAAATTATTTTCAGATACATCTAAATTATGAAAATCTAACAGCATTTCTTTAAATCCATTGTCTTTTTAAGGAATAATTTCTTGAAAAATTTATAGATAGTAATAAGGATCTAAGGGGATTAACTGACTTTTGAAAACATTTCATAAATTTGAAATCATGCTGGGACCACTAGGTGTGTTTGGCCCCAGATCCTGGTACCTGGATGGCATCAGATTCTGCAATTCAGCAAAGCAAAAATCATGGACAAATTTCAAAGCATATGGAGTCAGACTCATACTGCATGTTCAAACTTTCTTTCCATGTTGAAAATGGGAAAAGAAGCAGCCCTATTTTCCCCTTAATCAGCATGTCCTCTGAGCACTGCCTTTGAAGTACGGGAGTAAAGCAAATTGTGAAAGGCATAGCTTTTCCTTTTGGGTGTAGGTGGAGAGTTCATTTAAGACTGTTCTTTCCACAAATAGGTTGCCATCCCTGGAGCCATCCACCTAAGTCAGTAATTTGAAAACCCAGAAAAGACATCTTAGTCCTCAAGTACACTGGGGAAGTACAGAAAAAATTACATAAGATGGTGTGTGTGAGACAAGTGTGAACAACAAAGTGGACAAATGACACACCTACACTAGTTTGGGGAAGGGAGTGTTGCAGGAAATGGGCAGGGCCTGAATTTTCTGAGTTGTTTATATCATCCAAGTCACTGAATCCCTTTCACTTCCTTTTCACACTAGACAGACTATGGGTATGGTTTTTGTCCCATCGGGAACACAGAAAAGACAAGGGGACATGGGGAAAGAGGAGAGAGCAATGCTTGCAATACTAAAGCCTGAAAAGTCAAATGATAGGGACTTTTAAAAGGCCACCATACTGGAACGTTCTAAGAAAATCTATTCGCATAAAATGACAAAATTGTTTGCTGTCATCTGATTTCAAATCCATCACTGGCAGGCTATGTTGAAAACCAGTGCCTTCCCAAAAGAAAACTGCCTAAAAAGAATTTGCTCTGAAAAAGGTTGGCCTTCAAAGGTACTGCCTAACCCTCCCCTGGATGAGAATAAATGATTCCCCTCATCATCCCACAGCCACAGGCTGGGCCTAAAGCATCCTTCATGCTGCCGCCACATTTCCTTTGGGGATTGCCTTTGAATTGTCCCCTCTACCAGTAACTTCTCAATAAAGGTTACCTATTATTATTATTGTTGTTGTTCTTATTATAAAGCTATCCAATTCAACTTTTTATGTTCAGATCAGGCCGAAATCTAACACACAAACTATAAACTTATGCACTACAGTTTTCATGAGTTTGATTCTATCCCTGCGATAAATCATCCCGATTACCAATGAATTCCGACTAAAAAAGAGGACCACTCTAAGTAAAAACTGTGACCCATTCTAAGTACAGGAATACCTCTGAAGCAAACACTCCTCCCTCCTCTGCACACTGCAGAATAGTCTTCAAATATTTTTAGAAGATACTTACTGCCTCTAAACAAGTTCCCAAACGCACCTGGAAATTGGATTTAGTGTCCGCTGCACTGTCACTATTTCCCCCTGTGCCATCCCTTTCCAGGACCACACTGGTTTCCTTCCCTCTCCTGTAGAAACAAAATGTGCTAGAGGGACAGCTCAGGTTTGGTGTCAAGTACACCTGGATTTGAATCTCCCCGCTTACAACCTATATCTTTTCCAAATCTTAGTTTTCCTCATCTATAAACAGAGGTTTTAATAGCAATTTGGCAGAGCTACTGTGAGAAAGATATAAAGGACACTTTATATCAGGGGTAAAGTATGGGAGGATAGCTTTGGTCTCCCCTGAGGCTTGCACAAAGACATTTCGAACAGTAGAGCCAGTGTATTCCACCTAACAGCAAAGTGGACAAAACAGATTCTCTTATGAGGAGCAGGAGGGTATCCAGGGGCCACCTTCTGGAATATTAGCTTAGTCTCCACCATGTGCAGTGCTGGCCAGATTAATCTTCCTAAATATCTAATCACCTTGTTCAAAATTCTTTACTGGCTCCACAATGCCTGCTGAATAAAATCTGGGCTCCTAGTCACCACAATTCTGCCACGTCCCAACTTTCTGACTTCTTATCCAATTGATTCCTTCTACCTTCTAATGCAACCAAAGCTCACAGCTTTGTGTACTTGAAAACAAGTATATCTCTGTTCAAAATCCCTGAGCAGAAATCCCATCTTATAGATCTTTGAAACCCCCAAAATATCAATCATAGTACCTTGCCCATGATATGTAGTAAATATTTACTGATAAGAAAGTGGATGAATTGAATACTT